CTTCAGCTCATAATTTTATTATTCGTTATTAGTGATTAAGTGATAAAGATAAAATATTTTTTCTTTTTCCAATCAATACTTAACCCTTTTGTTTGATTTTTTTTCTCCTTTATCTTTAACTTCCCATAGTTTAATTTCTTAAGATGAAAGCACAAAACGCACAAGAGCACCTTTAATGTCCATATTTTCAAATGATTTAGGATTTTATTTATATGTGCCTTTATGTTCAAATCATTTTTTGTTTTGAATAAATTGTACGTAGATTTCGTTAGATTATCTCTATTTTTGTTGTTGATTGCATACTTTTGGTTGCAATGCAATTACATTATTAGAATGTAATTTCATATTGTTTGAAAATTATTTAAGAATTTGTTATGAATTCATACAGATGAATAGGAAGACTATGTTGGCTCAGAATAAGAAGAGTATTAATAATAAGATGACGAAGGCTACATGAGAGGATGTAGTACAAAAATCTTACAAAATAAATAGAACACAAAGGTGGTAGGGAGATACTACATATTTGTTGATCTCTCTTTATTATTATTAGTTGATTTTCTAGATTATACTATCAAATTAGAGCTTATATGATTTAATTTAATGTCTATGACTTTAGTTGCATTCGACCATTATTTTGTTGAGTAGCCTATATAATTTATTTGTTAGTATATAAGGATAAAAGCTATCATTTATTATATTTCTTCGAATACAATTCAAATCGTTTGTCATCATTTTTTTTATAAATAAAATCGATTAAAACTATAATTTTTATAATTCTACTAAGTTCTTATTTTGATTTTTTTTTTCTTAAATATTGTAAGAACTATGCAAGTATTATTCAAGCAATGAAGAAAATGATTATGGAGAAGGAATGATACTCATGTGATATACATGTGTCATTGACAGAGGAGATCAAAGGCAAAGAATTGCTAACAGGATCAATTGATGATTTATTCCCCCCCCCTATGAGCAAGGTAACAAACTCATATTAAAAAAATTCAAAAACCTACTTAGAAATTATAATTAAAGGTTGAGATTTATTCATAATTTGGCCCCACAATAATAAAGTTAAATACGCACCATTGATTTAAAAGTCTTAAGTAAATCTATGATCATTTTTTTGAGTTTATAGAGTTTATATATATATATATACATTTTTTCGCATGACGCTATAGTTTGATGCAAATTATTTATGCTATAAAGTGATTGTGATACTATTATCCCCAACAATCTTCATAATGAAATCTTGGATTTTTTACTCTACGCGGATTTTTAGATTTTTTTTTTACTCTACGTGGATTTTTTTTTTACTCCCTATGTAGAGACTCGTATCTTTTTTGCGTGAAGGTTCTTTTTCTCCATTTAGGATTTATTTTATATTTTGTACTCAGACTTATTTTATTAGATGACTTATTGTTAGATGTATTTCATATTTTGTACTCAGACTTATTTTATTAGATGACTTATTGTTAGATGTATAATATATTAAATCTTGTGTTTTCTCAACCAAAAAAAAAAAATCTAAAAAAAAAATTTAAGACTTGCACTAAAATTTAAATTTGATATTGTAATTTTGACACAAATAGACATGCAATGTATTCTATTATATAAATGAAGGATGTCACATTTAAAAATAAAAAATTAAAAAAAAAAAAGAACAAACGCTTCCTGCATACAATCACTATCACATTTAATATTTGCTAAATAATTTTTTTTTCTTATTAATCAAACCGACTAACATTATTACATAATTCTTTTTATTTATCAAAAACTATGTAAAAATTTAAATATAAAATTATAAATTCATAACATTTGCACCTACTTCTGAGTTACATGAATTAGGTATATTTTACATTTGTTAGAAAACTAAAGGGGAAACAAAAAAAAAAAAAAAAAAAAAAAAAAAAAAAAAGAAAAAACAAGAACTTGTGACTTGTGACTTGTCCACGTCAAGAACTTTTATGGTAAGAGCTCATCATAGGTCCACCTAAAAGAAAAATCTCAGTCCAACCCATAGAAACACACCACACTATTCTATTTCTTGCAATGTACCTAAAAAATTAAATAAATTACATACAAAATTCAAATATAATAACTTAATTGAGTTTTGAATAGAGATGGTAATTTTTCCCAATATCACTTCAATGACAAAATAGGGTGGGGCCGGGAAAATTCTATTTTCACACACTTAATTAATTCAGTACACATCTTTTTTTTAAAAAAAAAAATTATTACATTTCTATATTTCAATCAAATTACCAACACACCCCATCCTTTTCTCCCTCCCTCCCTCCCACTCTCCCAACTCAACCCTAACCTTTGCCATTTCTGACCACCGGCAGTCACCTCCCTCCCTTCCGATCATCACCACCTTCATAGCATTCCTCTCCTCTTGCCCGACATCCATTACATAGACCATCTCTGTTATACTAATCAAAGTTTTAATTTGTGTATGGTGTAAAATGATGTGTATTGAGATAAAATTAAAAATTTTAATTTGTGTATGGTGTAAAATGAATAAATGGCATATACTAGCATAAGTAAGGATGTTTAAATAGAATTACTTGTAGAGACGCATTTTCCTATTCTCACCCCCATCTCCATCATACTAATCAAATATAGTTTTATATAATATATATAATTTAATTTTTATTATTATTATTATTATTATTATTATTATTATTATTATTATTATTATTATTATTATTATTATTATTATTATTATTATTATTATTATTATTATTATTATTATTATTATTATTATTATTATTATTATTATTATTATTATTATTATTATTATTATTATTATTATTATTATTATTATTATTATTATTATTATTATTATTATTATAAGCCCTAACACTTATTGATAGTGTTGAAAAAGTGTGTAACATGTATATTAATAGTGTATTGAAATGTGTAAAAATATTCTGGAATATATGAGAAAATGTATTGGGATTATAATTTTTTTGATCTTGTTATGGATACTTATTAACAACCCTTAGCATGACCTAAAAATTATTATCTATAATATACTATATTGTCTCTTATTTTTATTAATACCGCCATCCTTAAGATTATAAAATTACGTCGTCCGTATTTATCTCTGTCAATCTGATATGAGTGGATCCCTACATTATCATTCTTAATAATAATAATAAATTCAAAATTAAAATGAGTGGATCCCTACATTATCATTCTTAATAATAATAATACATTATCATTCCTAATAATAATAATAAGTCTATCATTGTAAAACAAAAAGTTTAAATTCACAATTATGTAAAAATTGGGATCCAAAAAATTTATACATTTTATATTAAGTTCAAAATTAAAATATTCTTAATAAGCCTCACTCAAATGGAGTCCAAATCCAAAAGGTCCAAAATTAGTATTATATATGGAGTCCTAATGTCCCCAACCTTTATTTTTGTACCTATATAGATATAAAAAGTAAAATAAAATAATTCACTCTCACCTAAAGCAAAAGTTCCAAGGAAGAGTCCATATGTGTTTTAAACTTATTTCTTTAAGTTATTTTGAAAACCTTTGTTTTAAAAATATAATTTTAAATTTGAAGTCATATTTTAAATACACAATATTTTATTTTATTTTTAATTTTTTTTTTTTTGTGAAACTATTCACCTAACCTTTATTATATTTTACTCCCCTTGCATGTTTCCCTCAACTCACTATGAAGGTCCATGACTTTGTGCTGTTTGATAGGAGTGTAACACACTTGGGACTCATGGTTGGTTTTGAGTCAGATATGGATGGAACCATCTCATTGTCCAACTAATTGAAAAGTGTGTATTATTTACGTAATGTGAATAAATTTATTAACTGTTTGGTGCAGATTTTTACAAATTCGAATTTGATATTAAAAAGCATAAACTATAAGATTCTTATTATCTGTTTTAAGAGAGTTTAAATTTTTTATTTTTTATTATTTTTGCGAACATTTGTCTGACAATCAAAAAATAAAAACCCTACAATTCAATTGTGAATTAAAAAATAAAAAATAAAAACACCCGAACCCTAATTTGTGAATTCAAATTCAATTGAAAACCCTAGAATTGGGTTAGGGTTGGGGTTCAATTTGCATTACAGACTTTAGGTTAGGGCTAGGGTTCAATTTGAAACCCTAGAATTGGGTTAGGGCTAGGGCTAGAGCTACGGTTCAATCTATGAATTCAAAACCACAATTTCAATTCACAAACCCTATTCTACCCACATTGATATCAATTTCAATTCACAATATTTTCACATCACGAACCCTATTCTACCAACATTTTCATCAATTCACAACATTTTTACATTCACAAACCCTATTCTACCCACATTGTACCAACATTCACATTTTCACAAACAAAATCAACACATGCAAAATTCAAATTCAAACTGAGAGAGACAGACAGACAGACAATCAGCCTACATACCAAGAGAGAGAGCAAAGAGCAAAGAGCGACCCACAGGGAGAGAGAGCACAAAACCCACAAAGAGAGAGTGAGAGCAGAGGGAGAACTGATCAGGGAAGAAAAAACGAAGTTAAAAAGCGTGGTTACAAATGAGGGGAGTGGGCCATTTTATATAAGTTTTAAAAACGTGGTTACGAACCACGCTTCCTTTAAAAATCAAATTTTCTTTAAAAGCGTGGTTTATAATCACGCTTTATTTACAAAACAGTTTTCTTTAAAAGCGTGGTTTCTAACCATGCTTTCTTTACAAAACAGATTTCCTTAAAAGTGTGGTTTCTAACTACGCTTTCTTAATTAAAAGCGTGATTTGTAACAACGCTTTTATGATTTATTCACTTTCCGCACCTGGGCCAGAAATATGGTGAAAGCGTGTTTTGGAATAACGTTTCAGCTTATTTTGAGAATTCCACACAAACTAGGCTTAGTTTGAAAAATAGGTTAGTATTTTAACTTATTTTGGAAAAAGCCCCCAATAATTATCTTCCATAGAAACATGAACAGCCTTCGTCAACTTAGTCAAACTAAAATAACAAATAAATATATATAATATATATGCATTTACACATCACTACTGCACCAGAAGCAAATCTTAGGTCTCATTTGGCAATATCACTTTTTAGTCTAAAAGTCAAAAAGTTACTAAAAAAATCAAAAAATCAGCAACTTCTACCACAAAGTCAAAGATTCTTTCTCTTTTTTTTTTTTTTTTGCACATTTTTTCGTAAAAAATTAAAAAATCATCCCAAACATACTATTTTTTTTTTACATCATATTTTAATCAAAAATTCAAAAAGTTACTACAAAATCTTGTTCCCAAACGAGGCCTAATCAGAGAATAATTATCTTTCCACAAACATGAACAGCCCTAGCCCTTCATTTCCTTATCTTCCTTGTCTTCAGCCCTTTGTCTTCCAGTACCTAGTGCAGCGACAGATGATGCAGCTAACAAAAGAAATGCAGGCACACCTCTAGTAAAAGAGCCCACATAATTCCCTCCCACTCGAGCTTTGAGTCTGGAAAATTTTTCCAGCATCCAACTCTCAGCTGTCATTGCTCTATCTTTTAGGCGAAACAGCTTCTGGGGGGTCAAGGCACAGTCCTGTAATAATGGAGTGAATATAGTGAACTAAATTGTGAATTAAATGATCTTAAAGACGAACAAAAGAACAATCCATTAACAAACAGCATAACACCAAGGAATCAAAAATTAGCTAGGAAGAAACCAACAAATAGATAAAGAAAGGTTAAAATTACGCAAATAGTGTAAACAAAGGTCCTATCATAATCACAGTGCCAACGTCTTTAATTCAAACACTTGGGGAGAGTAAACAAAGTGCAGAGAATACTTGCAACCTATGAATCATGGCATGCCAATATGGTTGTCCTACTGGTATCTGACAAACCAACAGGCATAGAAATGCCATGTGTGTCCAATTTTTTTATTTTTTATTTTTTCGGTTTGGGACACGACTGGGACATGACATATGTATCTCTTAAGCCGACTCACCGCAGACACGTGTGCCCAAACTTTTTATTATTGCCTCACACCACAAGCGTGCCCAAACTTTTTATTATTTCTTTGGGTATGGGACATGAATGGGATACATATATCACTTAAGGCAACTCAACATAATCATAAGAAGAAGCAAAATACCAAAAGTAGAATAAGTAGAGACAAAAAAACAAAGAAACGAACAGTCCTTCGTGGTGCATGATGTTTTTATGCAATTGCTTAACATAATCTGTGCCATAGTTCTAAAAAATGGCCAGTATGCTACGTACCAGCCGATACGTATCTGAAAATCAAGGCGGCGATACGGATACAGATCGATATTGCGTTGGGATTGAAAATTGACGGCGAACCGGCCGGTTCCTGTTACATAATGGGTCGTAACCGTTTTTCAACCCGTTACACAAGTCGCAACAGGCTGATACTCACCGAGGCGGCCGATACTACCATGAAAATAGTTAAGAAATTTCCCGGCCACAACACTCGATTCCCTATACATACCAACTAATATTATCAATACTGATACTCCACGATCGATACCGTTATATTACCCAATACTGCGATTTAGAACCATGATCTGTACTAAATTGCCATTAATGCCTGTAATTCGAATTTACATGCTTCCAATTCTTTTCCTAGGGTGCTTATGTTTGAACATATTAAATGGGGCTCTAAACATCAAGTCCGTTAAACTGTACGAAGGGAAAACAAAATATAAAATTATTGACAGGATGGTCAAAACATTTATTAAAAAAAAAAAAAAGAAGAAGAAGAAAGAAACTTGAGCCTCCAAAAACATGGCTTCACAATTTACCCAACCTCCTGCCACATCATTAGTAGTGAATTGAGGGGTCATGAATTTGGCATCTCCAGCATCTCTTACAAAAATATGTGGCTTTGATTAGTCAAGTCCTAGAAATTGTTAAAATTTCAAAAACAAGATGGAAAATAAAATCAAAAACACATTATTTTCATATGGTTTTCTTTTTTCTTTTTCTTTTTTTTTGGGGGGGGGGGGGGGGGGGGAACGAAAATAAATTTAGTAAATTTTTAAAATAAAATTTGTAGTGTCTATTTTTGTCAAATTAGTTTGAATTCTTTTGAAATTTTTTTAGTAACAGATTTTGAAAAAATAGCCAAACTAACTCAGATCTTTTTTGAACAATTAGCATATATATGCCTTTTAAAATGCTTTTTCTATATTAATAAAATTTATTACCAAAAGCATCAAGAAGATGCTAAAGAATACAAAACCAAAACCCCAAAGAAAAAGGGGCAACACCTGACCAATCAAGTCATCTACAAAGTCCAAAAAATCAAACAATCCAGATCCACCCTCCCCGTCACTCAACTGTACAAAACACCAAAACACTGACTATCAAGCCAAGATAACATCTGAGGAACCCCCCGAAAAGTTCGCTGATTCTGTTCCAACCAAAGCAACCACATCAAACACAAAGGAGCCAAAGCCAAAGCCTTCTTACGCCTCTTCCCAATTCGACCCCCTCCCCAACTACAAAGAAATTAGCATGGTATACTTGTATCACGTAGTGTCATTTTGGGGTGTATAATCTTCCGTCCTTTTAAAATTTCGTCCTTGGAATTTATTTGTTTGGATATGTTATTAACTTCCGCTATGTACTATGATAAAATTATCATTTCGTATTCTTGGTTTGAAACTTGATATTCATCTTGTATCTCAAATTTTTCTTAATAATTCATGTTTCTTGGTTTGTGGTTGGATTTTCTCTTTCTATCTTAAATCGTTTTCAATAACTAATCCCTATCTCAAATCAGTTTCTTGGTGGTTAATATTTATATCATGTGAAACAGGGTTGAAGACCTTACCTTGTAGTGATTTTTGTTTAATTTTTTATGTAAGGATTGAAGCTCTTTTTATGGTTCTTCCTCTTCTCCTTTCTCGTCTCTTCTTGCTTCTAATTTCCAGCAGAATTACTCTCTCTTCAAATATAGATTTTCTATTTTATAACAAGGGAGAGACACGTGTCCATCTTGGGTTGATAACTATCCTCCAAGTAGGAGGTGTTCCAAAACCTAAGGCGGTGTATGTGTGCTTCTAAGTATATGCTTCAACATGTTTGCTTCACCAAATTTTTAATCCTCCCTCAGCTTAATTAATCAAGGTTTGTGCTAATTAATCGAGGTTAGGTCTTAATTCCAATTAGCTTAATTAATATTGATTAGGTCTAATTAATCTTACTTAGTTATCACTAATCCTAATTAACATTTTATACTTAGCATCAAATTGTGAAGTACATTAGTCTAAGATCTTTAACTCCTTGATTAGAGAATAGTGTTAGAATAATATCTTGGGTTATTGTATTGATTATTGTATTGGTTGTTATTTCCTTATCCTCTTATTTCCATATTTGTGCCTCCAAGGCTTCCATTGTAAGCTACCTATTATCAATATAACAAAAGGGATGATTGTCTAATCATTCCCTAAGTTTTGTTTTCTTTCAAGCAAACATGGTATCAGAGCAATAGGGCTATTATCTCACCTTCCACTATCACCCATCTGCAGCCAATCATTACCCACCCTGTTTCGGCCCATCTCTCATCTTTCTAGGGCTCACGATAGCTTCTGACCACAGTCAGAGACCACCCATGGCCAGCTGACAGTCTCTCTATTGTTCAACACTTCTGACAACCTCTCTGTCAGTGTCAGCCATTGCTGATGCTTCTCTAAGGGTCGCACACCATCTACCCTTCTATGGACAGCTTCATGAGTCCCTGCTGATCTTGTTTCTTCTTTTCTTGGGTTGGCATCTCAACCTAGTCGGCCATATGCATTGATTGACCCATCTGATATTTGGGTCTCCACTTAAAGCAAGGGATTCTTTTTTCCCCTCTTGAGATTAATTCAGCCACTGTATTGATTGGAGGATACCTTTCTCTTTATTTCATTTATTTTTTGGTTCCTTATATGGCCCCCTTACCCAGCTTTGACTGATTGGTATGCTCCTATTATGGTCTGTGATTGATATTGCTTGGTCCAGTTGATTTTATTCCCTCTTCAAGTATTTGTGATTAGTGCAGGTTGTTATTCGGTTTGTAGGATCTAAATGGCTGACCTTACTAGTGAATCCACCACTACTTCTCAACCACCTATAGGAGAGAGTCCCATTATGACTAATACATCTGAAAACCTAAAACCTAGCCTAAAAATCTAAAACCTAGCCTAAAAATCACCACTTCTTTTAATGGTCAGAACTACCTTGCTTGATCACAATGTCTAACACTTTTTTTGAAGAGTAGAGGGAAGATAGGTTATATTGATGGGAGGATCAAGGCACCGAGCATCACTGATCCTGATTATGACAAATGGGAGATTACCAATTTTTTAATTATGGAATGGCTCATTCATTCCATAGTACCCGAAATTGGGGAAGGCTACTTTTCTATCGATACCACTCAAGATATTTGGGAGGATGTGGCCACTACCTATTCCCGTAAGGGGAATTTCTCACAGACTTTTGAGTTGTGTCGTTCTATTGAGCGCTCAGTACAAGGGGAGACGACTGTCCTTCAGTACTTCACTTTTCTTGACAACGGCTAGAAATGTCTTGATCATCTACAGGACTATAAGGCGGTTTACACAACTAATTCAATGGGTTACCGGAAGTTTATTGAACACAAAAGGGTCTTCAAATTTCTGGAAGGTCTCAACTTAGAGTTTGACCTTATTAGGAGTCGGATCCTTGGTATGGATGTTCAACCCTCTCTCCAGGAGGCCTTTGCTTATGTACAAAATGAGGAGAGTCGTCATTCTGCTACGCTGCCACCTATCTCTACAAAGCGTTCAGCCTACTTTCTGCTCCTCCTAGGGATGGTTACTAGTTTACCTTGTACCTCACCTAGTCCTTCAGAGAACGATACACTATTCTGTGATTATTGCCGTCAGCCGAGACATACCCGTGAGACTTGTTGGAAGCTTCATAAGATTCCGTCTAGTGGTTGTGGTGACCGTTCTAGTAGTCGGGGGGTCGCTTCGGACGGTCTTGAGGATGTGGGTTTAATCCACGTGCACATCATACTAGTGCAATGGATACTCCTGACACCTCTTCAGTTGCTCCTTCTAGTGGTGATATATCTGGTATGTCTTCTTCTGAGTTAGAGGATGTTTTGAGCCACCTACTGGATCGCCGTTCTTCTTCAACTACTCCATCCAGTACATCCTCCTCATCGTTTGCCTGTTCAGGTAACTTAACCGCTTCTCCGAGTCGGTCTCGTAGGCCTTTACCTTGGATTATTGATTTTGGTGCCTCAAATCATATGATTGGGTCTTCTGATCTATTCTCAAAATATAAGCCTTCTTTAGGTCAGGACAAAATTAAGATTACTGATGGCACTGTTCTATTTCTAGGAAATATCTAATCCATGCCACTCATTCTCTACCATTATCTTCTGTTTTACAAGTCCCCAATTTTGCTATTAATCTTTTATCATTAAGTCGTCTTACTAAATTTTTCAAAAATATTTAGGTGGCGACTTTGAAATCTGGCAATGCAGTTCATTTTTGACATTTCTGATTGTAAATCGATTTTTCAAGGATTTGCCGGATTTGG